TCAGAAACCAGAAATTCTGGTCCAGATATTTGTATTATGACTTCGCCATTTGATTTAATCATTAAAATCATTCAGATCCTGAATTTATTAAGCCTTGGGGGAAAAGCAGAAGGAAAAGTTCTGAAAAGGACTTTGATTTAGGCAATCAAGTGTCAACAAGTAAGGAGCCTCTCTCTCTCACTGATTATTCCACTATGAAAGAGTTGGATAGCAAATTCTATATCTTAAAAAATAAATAATTAGCCTGGTGTGAAGCAGCAGCGAGAAGTGAAAAGTGTAATTTATTGAATCTTTCTAAAAAAACTACTTGGGGCCCTTTTGACTAATGTAATCATCACCTAAAGTTCTCTTTGAAGGTCGTATCTGAGCACAGTTTTGCTCAATCTAATGATCCAGCACCTCCTCCACTGAGTGTTTGGACCTGCTCACCTTGAAGGCAACAATTTAATCACAAAGACATTTTCCTGACATTATGCATTCCTGTCAGATGATGCCACTCACTTTATTCAATGCCCACATTAAAAAAGTGATATAAATTAGATGCTTGCAATGAATCAGTTTTATCCAGGGATGTACATGGTTATTTCAAAGATGCTTCACGTCTTCTCAGTGGTCTTCAAACGAAAGTAGATTCTAACACTTGATCTATAAGCATTTCTGCTCAAGATTTATCTGATTGAAGACTTAAAAACAACTTATTAAATATCTTTAAACTGTCATACTATAACAAAAATCCATAAATTCTTTGTGCTAACTATAATTTTTACTATGACTCACCAGTCTGTTCCTGTTCAGAATAAATCACTTTTGCACGGATCCCAAATGCTCTTGTCATCTCTACCTACTTTAAAAGAATCCTGATATATCAAGTCAATTGATTAAAATATTAAGAAAGGACTTACGTATTAAATATATTTCAGATAACTGAAATATATTTAAAATATTTTTAATATATATAAATATATATAAAAATATTTTTATGCAAAAGAGCAAGTTTTTTTCAAATGAAAAATGCTTTTAGTTTGTATTTTGTAAGTATATTTTCCAGACATGCCTATTTAACTCATTAGTTCCATGCATTTGGGGAAGAATATTCTGTCTATATAGTACAAACATTTTTTGACCACCTTATGAATTATTTTATTTTGGCTTAAAGAATAGCCACGTCTTTTTCAGGGTTTTTGGCTCGAATTATAAGGATTATTAAACAAGATACTTCTATCTTGCAGGACTGCTGCAGATATTCAGGGATTGAGAACAGGAAACACACAGATGCATACCTCCACACACACCACAGGCATGTGGATCTTCCCTGAAGCCTAAATTTTATCAAAAACAAACTATATACCCTTGTACAAATATTAGCAATTTATAAACAAATATTATAATGTTCCTAAATAGGGTATCATTAAAGTGATTGGGGGAGGCAGAGGCATAGTAATCTATTTCCTGAATTGGAAGAAGGGCTCAATTTTGCCCAGATGTACGTCTGACGCATGAATTAGCACTGAAAGAAAGTCAGAATAATTCCAAATAGTTCAAAAATAATAATGGGAAATTTATCATTATTATTTACTGGCAGGCACTAATTAGCATTAAAATGCTTTTTTTTAAAGCCAAGATAGTCAGCATAGCAATGTGACTTCAATAATGACTCTGTAGATTTTTTCCCCCCTTTTCTACTATTGTCAGTAACCTGCACTCTACTTTCATGAGAATGATTGTCTAAAAATAGAACCACTCCTTTTCCGTTTTTGCAGCCATTAATGAAGTCACTGCTTAGCTAAATCTTGCTCTTAATTCAGCTTCAGTCTAAAGGAAGAAAATAATCTGGATTTCTGGTATGAAAGATTGGACCCATAATATAAAGAAGGGCACAAAATAACAGCACTGGTCTCTAGTTGCAGTGAATATGATGATGAGTCTGAATCTTATGTCAATATAACTATATTGCTTATTTCATGGGAAAAAAATCCTCTCTCATGTTTTCAAATTTGTCCCAAGGCTTAGCTACAAGAGGAATAATTTGTTTTTAAAATGTGAGTTCATTCACTTCACAGACTTGAGTACCTGTTTTGGGCCAGATCCTGTGCTGGGGTGTGGGGCCCTCAAATGAATTAACTATAGTTCCCACCCTGTCCTGACGGGACACATTTTTGTTAACTTTGCTCTCCCCAGGTGAGAATGACTAACTCCCTAAATTATTGTTAATTCACAGTGTGCAAGATCCAAGCTCAGCTTTCACGAATAGAGTTGGTGTTTTAATGGTTGTTTTTCACATGTTCTTAATTTTGTTTTTTTTCCCAACTTCTAAAGCTTTAGTTAAAAAAATGTGGACCTCAGATAAGAAAATTTTAATGATTGTGAACTTGATTTTATGATCTTTGATTATTGTCAGAACACAGAATGCTTCTCTTTTGTTTAATTTCCTTTGTTTTTGCTTTATTTCTGTTATCTTCTGTCACTAATCCCACACCCCTGCCTGCCATAGGCAGCTTTATATTATATTTAAAGTATGTTCTTTGTTCTACATTTTTATACACACAGACACATATACATACACAAAGAGAGAACCTTTGAAAATTTCTGGCATGGAGCATATCTGATTTACATAAATGATATGATGGTATAAATATCTGTTGCTAACTTTGTATTTAGCATAGCTTTTAAAGACCTACCCATGTTACTGCATATACACTGAAGTTACTGCTTTTTATACTCCATTACATGCTATCCTATTCATACACTGGTAATTTGCCAACATGTAAGAGAGCTCTGCCGTGAATATCAACACACCTTTCTCCTTGAGCACTTTAGTGACTTATTCAAGATCTATCCAGTGGTACAACTGCTAGTGTGAGCATAATTGTCAGGTGTGTGCATATTTAATTTTAGTAAATTAAGTGAGGCTTTTTCCCCCCAATGGCTGCATTTGATAATATTCCCACCAGCAAGGCAATAGGGTCTCCATTTTTCTACATCTTCACCAGCATTTGATATTGTGTGACTTTTTAGTTTTTGCCAATCTAATGACTATAGCTCAGCTTTGGTGCTTTCATTAACATTTTGATGCTTTCATTAATATTATCTCCCCAGGTGAGAATGACTAACTCCCTAAATTATTGTTAATTCACAGTGTGCAAGATCCAAGCTCAGCTTTCACGAATAGAGTTGGTGTTTTAATGGTTGTTTTTCACATGTTCTTAATTTTGTTTTTTTTCCCAACTTCTAAAGCTTTAGTTAAAAAAATGTGGACCTCAGATAAGAAAATTTTAATGATTGTGAACTTGATTTTATGATCTTTGATTATTGTCAGAACACAGAATGCTTCTCTTTTGTTTAATTTCCTTTGTTTTTGCTTTATTTCTGTTATCTTCTGTCACTAATCCCACACCCCTGCCTGCCATAGGCAGCTTTATATTATATTTAAAGTATGTTCTTTGTTCTACATTTTTATACACACAGACACATATACATACACAAAGAGAGAACCTTTGAAAATTTCTGGCATGGAGCATATCTGATTTACATAAATGATATGATGGTATAAATATCTGTTGCTAACTTTGTATTTAGCATAGCTTTTAAAGACCTACCCATGTTACTGCATATACACTGAAGTTACTGCTTTTTATACTCCATTACATGCTATCCTATTCATACACTGGTAATTTGCCAACATGTAAGAGAGCTCTGCCGTGAATATCAACACACCTTTCTCCTTGAGCACTTTAGTGACTTATTCAAGATCTATCCAGTGGTACAACTGCTAGTGTGAGCATAATTGTCAGGTGTGTGCATATTTAATTTTAGTAAATTAAGTGAGGCTTTTTCCCCCCAATGGCTGCATTTGATAATATTCCCATCAGCAAGGCAATAGGGTCTCCATTTTTCTACATCTTCACCAGCATTTGATATTGTGTGACTTTTTAGTTTTTGCCAATCTAATGACTATAGCTCAGCTTTGGTGCTTTCATTAACATTTTGATGCTTTCATTAATATTTTCCTGATTTCTAGAGAGTTTGAGCACCTCTTTTTTATTACCCATTTAGGGTTTTCCTTTCTATGAATTGTCTATTCAGAGATATTGCCTCTTTTTTGTTTTTTTCCCTCAGTTTTTCAGGAATAGGGACAAAAGAACCAACCCTCCCAAGAATATTATACAGATTTATCCTTTGCCTTCCTTTTTAAAATATGTTACATGAAGATTTTCTCTAAGCCTTTAATACTAGGAAAGCTTTAGGTTTCCAGAAAGTTATATAGCTGTCATAGTAAACTTTTTATTTCAATGTCATTATGAACTTTTTTTATGTCTCTTATCATCACCTAATTCAAAAGATGTTTTGAAAGAGTCAGGCATAAGTGAGTCAATAAATTTATTTTTTTAAAAATGTACCTGTTTAATTTAATTGGTCTTCTTACTAGAACAAAATGTGTTCCCACTCACCTTAGAATAGCAATAGGCTATTAGAATTACAAGGCTGTGGAGATCACCTGGTTCAACCACACACTTCATAAATTGGAGATGGAAAAGTCACAGAGGTCATCTGAAACTATTTAGGCTATATAGATAGGCAAAAACTGGAGTGGCCTAGCACTAAATCTGGTTTTAGTTTCCTTTTATCAAATTATTTTTAAACATTTGGTAATTTATATTTAATAGGAAAGGTACATATATGGGGACATGTGTCTGTGTGTATGTATGTGTGAAGTGTGTTTGTGTTTTATAAAACTCATGAGTCCCACCCCAACTCCCTGGGCATTTATCTATATGTTACTGATCAGAAGTTCTGGTCTCAATACATCTCTAATCTTTTCTAAAAGTCTTTGCAAAATTTTCATCTAATCTAGAGTGCAAATTACAAGTCAAGCTTTGGAAATCAAACTTAAATTCCTCTGTTTGGCAATCTCTGAGATAGTGTATAAAAATATCCTACTTGCTAATTATTTGATTATCAGCTCTGTTCCTAAATCATACATGAATTGCTTGTCTTTCTAGGTTAAGTATCAGCATCAGAAAGATTCTCCCTCAATTGCAGGACTTGGAACGGACAGTTGTGGTTGCGTCTAGATCTGCAGATGATGAAGCCCCAACCTCACGTCCTCGTGGAATCCCAGGTCCCCTGAGCGGACAGGAAGCAACGGCTGGGCAGGGTTCCAGTGTTTCTGACTTGGATCAAGTGAGTATTACCCTTGGCAATGTCAATACTAAGGCTTTTCACTGAATATTTGCTTCCACATACACCATGGCAAGGAAAGGGATATGTTAAGTCCTCCTCTGGCTCTGAATGCTTGTGCTCAGAGGTGACGCACCTGTTCCCTCTGACATTCTTTGGCTAAGCAACTCACTTGGCCACAGTTAACAGGTGTCCTGGAAAGGGCAGATTCTTTGCTATTTGGTGAAGAGTACCACTGACTACTACAGAGGGTAAAGATACTAGGTAAAGAGGCCTACATGCCCTCCTGACTTCCAAAAACACTTCTGTGTACTAAGTAGCCAGTAATGGTTCTGGAGATTTAGCAGGGAAGAAGCCAAGTGGAGGGAGAATGATAACTAAAGCCGATTCCCGAGGGCTGGAGTGTGTGTGTACAGGGAAACAGCTCTGACATTGTCTAAAGGCAGGTGTGGGCATGCCACTGAGTATTTCTTGCACACAGTGCATTTGATATGTGCAGAACTCAGTGAGGTGAGTGTTGCTCTTACAACCATTTTTCCAACATGGCAACAGTTCTTCAGGCTGATAAAGAGACTGGCCCAAGTCATGCAGTTGATCCAGGTCTTGGTTCTCTGACTCCAGGGGCCCCTTTCACTTTACTTTTGGACTATAACACTGATGTTCTCAACATACCACAAACATCAAATTAAAAATTTCCTGAGTTTAGATCTAAGGTTGACATTTTGTATCTGAGCCCTATTCACATCTTATGATTGCCATTAAAAAATATATATGTATATAGAATGTTAACCTAACCATACATATAGGACATTTTTTGGATTCTTTACACGACCACTAAGAATTCAGCAAACTGACCTTTTAAGTTGCCAAGGAAATCTATCAGAAGTATTCCTAGAAAATGGTTACTCTGATTGCAAACAATCTCTTGCCATGATTCAAGTAGTCCAATCTCTAAAATAGGCAAATACAATTAGCTGCATGCAGATGAGTAAATCTGAATCTGCTTCCTCATTGTGGGAGGTGAGTCTAAATGTCAAAACTGCCTGTTCTTCCCAGACTTTCAGCACTGATAGCATTTAGTCGGAACATGCAGTTGGGGGCAGGTCATGTGGCTACAATAGTGTTTCTGCTTAGAAAAGGGAAAGTGGTTCTTAAGCTGATTCCTCCTGTGCTCTGTCATTCCCACATACAAACACACACACAGGCTAATGAAGCTCAATTTAGTTTAAGTGATTGGAAAAAGGCTTCTGAATGGTTGAAAACCATCCTGGGGGTTCGCTGGTGGTTTTTGTCTAAAAGGGTCATACATATCCTTAGCTCTTTCAATCTGAGGTATCCAGATGCTCACATGCCATTCTAAGCAGCAAGTGACAAGGATTAAAAAGTAATGCACCAAGAAAATACTGAGGCCAAATCTATCTTCTCAAGTTTTTCTACTTTTCAGGGTAGAATACTTTAATATCAGAATTTATGGAGTAATAAATACTTAGGAATTAAGTGTTATCAGAGGGTCAAAAAGTACCCAAAGAGAGGTGGAGCCAGGATGGCGGCATGAGTAGAGCAGTGGAAATCTCCTCCCAAAACCACATAGATCTATGAAAATATAACAAAGAAAACTCTTCCTAAAATAGAGAGCAGAGAACACAGGACAACATCCAGACCACATCCACACCTGCAAGAATTCAGTGCCTCCCAAAGGGGGTAATATATAAGCCCCGGCCCGGTGGGACCCAAGCACCCCTCCCCCAGGTTCCCAGCGGGTGGAAAGAAACCGGAGCGTTTTTTTATTTGGCGAGTGCTTTTTGGAAGCCTTAAAGGGACAGGGACCCCAATACCAGGGAAACGGGGCAGCAAGACTGGTGAGCGGGTGCCTGAGACCGGCGCCTGAGGACAAAGAAAATCGCGCGTTTTTCCCAGTACTGGGGAGGCAGGGCGGCAGGACCGG